ATCACTTCTGGTTTGGCCCGACCGTGAACCTAAGTTGTGAACTTGTAAATGGGACACTGGCATTAAATTTTTGGATTGTACAGACAATTTCACACCTGATAGCTTATTTTCAACAATCTATACAAGGTTGAGTGAAAAAATAATTAAATGGTACCTATTTTTTACTATAGGTGGCCATGAATAAACCGAAATTTCTCTTCCTAGATTCTACACGAGGGGCCAATTGTATTTGGAAGTCTTTTTCATCTTAAATAACTTTTTTGTTTTGATTTGATTTTTATGAAATTTATTGAACTATGAAAAAAATGCTATAGCATACTTAAATTGAAATAGAAAATTTGAAGGAAACCTTAAGAGAGTGAGGATCATTTTCATAAAGACTTGCTTTTAAGGTTGTTGCAAAAATTAGTTAACTAATAATAAGAGATACAGCGTATCATTAAATTGTGAAATAGTTTAAATTTACTCAACGCTGAGAGGGCGATACTCTGGCCCTCTAGTAACTGAGTTGAATAACTAAAATGTACCGAAAAGTTGGTGAGATTATAGGTACCTGCTACAGTAACATTATTCATGGCGGTGTTGCCAAAGATACTCTTCCTAATTTCAAAGCTGTGTGGGCGAGAGTCAGGTTACTCAAAGTAATGAGTATTAAACTAACAACAACATAAATTGTCTCGCACTTCCCTGATTATCACCTTTCAGTACGATCATTCTATAAATAAAAAATATGACCTGCCACCTGTTTAATTCTTTAATGATAATGTTACTGTCCTATACTTCCTCCCATTATTTACATAAACTCTGCTTTGTACTTGTTTACATCTGTCTTCAATCGATTATTCATATGCAATCAATATTTGTATAGATTGATACCGCCAATCCCCTAATTATAACATGTTTGACGTTTTGTAAAAATCTGATTTCTTTTAGCGGTACCATCGTATAAGCAAATCGTAATAATTATTTGATATCAGAATTCAAGGGCGCTAACGCTAACGACGAAGTGAAAACACATATACAAAATATCGCAATTTTGACAACAATTCATAATTTTTTTAAACTCACTACCAAAGGCATTTACAGAGAAGTTGCCTTGTCATACATCGAAGGTGCGAATACTCGTCATTTAGGTATAGTTTGCACCCAGGTGAGGACCATTGAATTTATAACTGTCCAATTCAATGCTGCGACCTTTTTCTACTTGGTCAGATGAGACAAAATGTAATTGTACAGCACGATCAAGGGATAGGCGTTTAGTACGTCCATACTTTCTTCGAGTCTGTCTCTCCATGTACACGATATCTTTGTTTAGAAACGTCTAATCGTTTTGAGAAATGGTACACATAACACATGTTAGATGTTCTTAAATAAGAACTACTGTTTTTCAGCTACGTAGATCATCAGGTCAAAAAGTTACACTCCAAAAACAATCTCGAGGATGGTTGGGTACTTAGACCATATAGTACATGGACTGCTATTATCCCTATGCTTTCAATACAAAATGGGTGGTCACGGATAGAGGGCACTGTAGTCGTGGGTATGCGAATCTCAGGGTAAACTAAAGCCGTATGAACACCACTCGGATCGCGTAAAGAGTAGCTTTTATGGGAACCGCGTAGTACGGGAAGCTTTAAATACTCTTGATTATCTTCTATACGTCCACAAATACGGATAGGTTTGCTTTTTTGGCATATCTAGGCGATTAATTAATTGACGTTTGTTAATTTATAGGTTGACAGTCTCAAATCGTATCTAATCGGACAACTTCGGACAGACTCGTTTACCCTGAAACTCACATACCCAGGCGATGTCCTTGACCATATTTTCGTTTCAATTAGCAGTCCATGTACTATTGGTCTAAGGTTGGGTATCAGTTATATCGGATTTTTGTATTAGTTTTTCGTCGACCTCTCGATAACAGCATAAATTACACCTTAGTTACGGGTGTAGTAATCAAGCTCATTAATGGTTAGAAACCATTATACGTTAGCAACCATTAATCGTTAGCAACCACTTATACATAACCATTATGCATTAGCAACCATTAATCGTTAGCAACAACTTGTACATAACAACCATTTTATTAAAGGGAAATGACATTTATATAACAATTCACTTTCGGCAACAGCTGAGAACTTCCATCTACCTAACCATTTTAATCTCGGTTTTAATGTAGTGAGATCAGCAGCCAGTATGGTCGCCAACGATCTCAGCAAAGCATATCCTGTGTATATCTTCTCGGATAAGGTATTGTTAAGGTATTCAGTTACTTTACCTTCAACATTGAGTACGTCGACCACAGAGATGAACTTTTCCATATCTTTAACTGTTAATACACGTACTTTAGTACAGTTGCAAAAGAATTATTCTAATTTCACATACCTTTTCAAGGTAAAATGTCAACATGACATTTTCGGAAATATCTCCTTTCAAATTCATTGTATTCCATCAATTGCCGAACTGATTGAAACCGTTCCAATAAGTTTCTTTTGATTTGAGTGGATATAATGTTAAAATTGCCTCCGCAGCTGAGTAAGCAACATAATCTTCCACTGCGATTACGAGGACTGACGGTACAGCATTAAACAACATATTACTATAGCAACGACAATAGCTGTAATTTAGTGAAAAATCGTAGCTCATAATCTCTTTTGTAATTTCTCGTAGTTGATTTTAAAATAACCTACCCCAGTGAGGTCGACGAAAAAACGTTGTATGCAATTCATGTATAAATCGGCGATTATTGGTTCGTTCGAATTTAGTCCACTCGCTGCGCTCGTGGACTAAACATCTCACTCACCAATAAAACGCCTCATTTATACACTCATTGCATAAATAACTATTTTGAAACTTGAAACTTTGACATATGCCTGGCGTTGCCGCCTCTCCCAGGATTTAGTCAACTGTCGTGATGATGCGTCCCTTTGTTGCCATCGCGCTGGGCCGCGACATATGCCAAGCAGTGTGGTGGAGTTTGTGGATTGGGGGGGTTGTCGGGGGGCGGCTAACTGGGTGTTATCCGACCCAAACGGGTACGGCCACAGCTTCGCCACTGGGTATCGGATTTTTGTATTAGTTTTTAGTATTAAAATTTCGCAATGGCTTACTGTGCATTTTTCGGATGCAACATCCTGTATAGTTATGGAAATGTGCAACTTTTTGATTTACCCAACCATGCTACACAAAAAGAATTTGGGGGTCTGTTAACCACCATTTTGAATGTCTGGCTAAAGAAAGAATGCGCAAAAATCTCTATAGGTAGTGCCACTTTGATCCCCATTATGGATGTGGCAAAAAAATCTTGACATTCAGGGGGTATGGTTAACGCTAGCGTCCCATTACTTCAAATAGCAAGCGCTGTGTTAATCAAATCTAGTAGGTACCAGAAACCTTTGGGTTCAGATCATTGGTAGAGCAAAATCTTCATTGATTCAATAATTTCGCCGCGGAAACTTTAAAATGATTTGGCTTTATGCAAAATAACACAACAGAGAGACAGATCGATATCATCGAGATTTTGTTTGATCCGGATTCCTGGTGCTTCAAAACGTGTATTCTCGTAAAGTGGGGGGTGATTTAGATTTTCCATTGTGTCATAACAGTAATCCTTTTTATTCAATATGCAGTAGTAAATTTACCTAGGTACGTAACAAAGAATACTAAATCTTTGCTACGTATAAAATTAAATTATGTATGAAAATAACGAGGAGTTCAAAGGTCGCTTTGTAAAATAATATTAAATAAAGATGGATGATGTTATGGCATATGGCAACATTGCAAGAAGGAACCTGCAAGGCATCGTCATCGAGGTTGATTAATTAATAATATTTCATGTGGTTAGGTAACACATTTAACAGATAACTATTTTAACGAAACCTATTCCGTTGTACTTCTTATTATTAAGTATTCTTTGCTTAAAGGTTGCTCATTATTTAGTGGTAGTGGCATCAAAAAACCTTTAATATTGTGGAGTAGGTGCTATAAAAAATATGTACCTATTTTATACTGATTTCACTAAATAGAAAAATATTTCAAAGATTCAAAGTGATGCACATGTTTAAAAGTTTATAAGGGAGGAAGTGTTTTTCATTACATTCAATCGATGGATCCGACCGTAACTAGAACTGCCTTTTGGATTGCTATCAAACTTACTATTCTCCTATGGAGAATCTGATAAAATAATATTTGTTGATACTTTATAGTGCATAAATGAATAAACGAAACAGTCTTGGGTAACTAGGACTAGCTTAGTAGTTATACAGGGTGGTGACTTGCGTAACGCATCATAGGGATTTCAATGTAAAATTCATAACATGCGATTATTGGCTCCCCAAATTATTTTAGAGCAAAAATGTATTAAGGTTTTTTGTAGGAAAAAATTTTTTACGTCAATCAACCGTATTAGTTTTCAATTTTTTGCATAATAAAGACGGAAAATTGGAAAATAAAACCCCCATCTTTTTCAATAATCTGTGATGCCATGGAATTTTATAATACAAAAACTACGCCAATATCCGTCATGCCATGGAATGTCTGCTATAAAACAAATCAAATTCTATCAAAAAGTATTATATTTAGAACAGCGAATTCAACATAAAGAAAGACCAAATTACTAAAAACGGTTTCCTAATATAACAATTTACAATAAATGTTCGAATAAGTCACCATTAACTGCAATACAGTAACCAAGTCGATCATAAAAGCCATTTCGAACTGCTGCTAATTGATAACTGGATATCTTTTTGTTTTAGAAAATTCCATGGGATCGCAGATTATTGAAAAAGATGGGGGTTTTATTTTCCAATTTTCCGTCTTTATTATGCAAAAAATTGAAAACTAATAGGGTTGATTGACGTAAAAAATTTTTTCCTACAAAAAACCTTAATACATTTTTACTCTAAAATAGTTTGGGGAGCCAATAATCGCATTTTATGAATTTTACATTGAAATCCCTATGATGCGTTACGCAAGTCACCACCCTGTATAGTCAATTTCTGCTAATCTTTAATAATCAAATTTGGGAACAACATTTCCTGCAAAAAAAAAAGGATGTATTATTAGAACTACCACGTTCGTTTAAGCTTAGGAGCCGCAGTCATCCACTCCAATCATTATGGTGTTGTTATAGTAGCGTTCATTGGAACTTATGCATAGAATAAAACAGACTTAAAAAATGAGTTGGAGGACTATCTTTGTCTCACACAGTCTCGTTATCGTGATGGCCATTTGCTTTTGTGAAGAAACAATGTCAGGTTGAACGGTAATTGTTATAAACAAATTAATATACCTACTCGTAATAAAAATTTAAAAAAAAACGTGCCATTGTTTGCGTCTGTGTGTTCGTCCCGGAATTTTTTGCTATAGGGAGCCTATATGTTGAAGGCGCACCCCGTGGCCTTCAAATTTTGTTGTAAGGACAAATTGCCTGTAGAATCCAAAAATGAAAAAAAAATAAGAGGGTGTATCTAAATGTAAATTGTATGGACAGGAAAATACTATTTGATCCGTTTTTTACTCATAATATCACCCTCCAAAATGTCATGTCAATTCTGCCAAAGTTACAGAGGTAAGTGTAGTTTCGTTTATATATGTCGTAGTCTTTTAGTGAAATCCGTCATTTCACAAAACGCCCAGTCATTTATATATGAAACTGTGGAACAGTTTACTTTCCAGGACCAAGCGATTGGATTCCCTTCCCATTAGAGATCGATAAATGGTATCCTTATCGATCTAGAAGGGGAAGGGAAATTACCCCACACGTACAAATTTTCAGCGTTTCACTAAATGACTAGGCCTCGGACTAGGCGTTTCGTGAAATGACGGATTTCACTAAAAGACTACGACATATACACACTGAATATGGATAGAATAATATAATCCTATTCATTTCTTTACGTTTAGGTGAGCAAATTACTACTTTTGTTTGATTTTATGTGCAGCTGGTACCGTACAAGGTCTGGTAGAAGATCTAAAACGTGGTATGGAAATAACAAAAAACACTAATTACCCTTCTGCGGCCATAACATCTAGTTGCGAATTATTCAGGAGGTTTATCACATTATCCATTAACGATAGCAATGTAAGTAGTACTTAAAGAAATATCAATTTGAAGAGAGAAATATTGTTTTATAGACTTTTGCTCAATGTCAGAATGTTATGTTGGACAGAGGAAACTTGTTCTTAAATAAATTAAATGCATCTAGGGATAAAATCAAGAAGCTGGCTTCGCAATTCATTATTGATGGCTGTGTAGGTAAATTATTAAAGCTGTTATTGTATGTATAATTTTGGTTCGTAGAGAATTTTAACACATTCAAGGTCCAGAGTTGTGCTCCATACTTTAATAGAAGCAGCTCAACAAAATAAATACTTTGAGGTATTCGTTACCATGTCTGCGCCTGATGATAGTGGGTAAGTGCCACTTATACACTGCGTTCAAAATAAGGATGTCTATCATGGGCATCTCTGGAGTCATAGAAGATACAACGCTGATCAAATTAGAGAAAAGTTACGCAATTAAACAGTTATTCAGCCCTGTGATGTATCACTAACGTTAAACTTGTTTTGAAAAAAGTTGTATTGAAAATGGTTTTGGAGATCCCCATGATAGACATTCTGATCTTGGACACAGTGTATAAGTATGCGAAGTTATTTACTGATATAGTTTACCCCAGAATGACGAAGAGTTATAAGTCATTGTGGGTATAAAATAATGTGGGGTATTATAAAATGGGACAATAGATGCATTAGTAATATTTATTACTTTTCCTCATTTTGAAATGCAATAAACATAATCAAACTGTTTTTGTGTCATGTAAAGTATACTCCGTTCAATAGTTATTGTCAGTGGTCGAAGTGGCAAATATTTTTTACCGGTATGGCTGAACTGATAAAATCTTAGTATTGTATGTATGCGTATATTATCATGAAAAAACTTTATCCGTTATGCCTATGTGGATAAATTTATTACCGGTATGTTTCACAAAAACCAAAAATCTATCGGTATGCCATACCGCCGCATACCGCCTCACTTCGACCACTGGTTATTGTCCCAGTAGTAAACCATGTTAGGGTGATGAAATTCGCTGTGTATATGTGCTGTCACTCATTAGGTTATGTCCATTTTATGCAAAATGATAATTTCCTGTCAATGTGCAAAACCTAGTTGCCAGATTTAGTTTTGGATTTTGTGGTAATTTTGTTATAGGTTAATATGTATAAATTTCATGAGAAACAACTTGCTCAATACATTTCATACTTTATTGAGTAGGCAAATGGCTCTAATGAACATTATTAATTTCAAAAGGCTGTTATATATGAACTTATTTACAATTATATGCTTAGTTAGCAGGTCGCTGGTGGTGATCTTTATGAATGAAACATTTCCACATTTAAATGCTGTTATGCTGGTCTAAACTTCGAGCAGCTTTAGTCTGGGGCTGGATCAGCTTTGGGAGATGTGTGGTGTAGATTCCCAGAAGATAACCACTGCTCGATAAGTCAGTACCATCGTACCCGAGATGCCCTCAACGACCTCATTGATACCTAACTGCGCTTGAGTATAGTTCTTGCTTCCTCGGTGCCATTGGAGTGTTCTTCCTTGGATCTTTTGTTTTTCGTCTGTGCTGTTTGATGATTAGTACATTTCTGTTAATCTTATTTCCGGCGGGTAGCTTACTATTCTTTGGGGAACAAAACAAAACAGTAAAACGCTTCCCTTCTGATTTAATTTTAGACGGATTACTTTTAATTTCAGAATCGTGTACCCATTTTAGTACGCTGGATTCATTTGAAAAATCCAAGTCTTCCAAATACACGGATGTTATATTTTCATTTGAATTTTGGTATTGCAAGAATTTCCTCAAAAATGTAATTTTAGATGCAACAACATGTTTCTGTTCACAGAGAATTTTACGTCCATTTACGTGTTTGTATTTATAACCCATGGATTTTAGAATGTTATATAAAGTAGTTTTCCCGCGCGTCCCTTAGTAAGTCAGCCAAAGTAAAGTTTTCATTTTTCGAGTGATAATTCCAAATCAGTCGTTGCAAATCTTCCCGAAATGAGAAATTTTTATATATGATATCAGTTTTAGGTCGTGGGCCAAAGGTTTCAATTCAAAAGTATCCATCCGGATAATTCTTTCAATGGTTTTTTCTGATACCTAGAATAGTACAAACCCCAAAATTAGACCGAAAGTTAAGTTCAATGCATAAATACTCGCATCCCAAATGTTACTAAGCTGGGCTAAGATTTCCGCTTTCCTTAGGTCTGGCCTGTCTGTTTTATAATGTCTGTAGGCTTTTAAAATTTGCATTTTCGCATCTGAGTTTATGATCTTCGGTATATTTTCTTAATTATAAATCACAATTGACTAATACGTATCCATGACGCTGATATACAAATATATCCGGCTTTATGGTTCAGTGGTAGAGCGTTGGACTATAAATCCGGAGGTCGGGTGTTCGAACCTGGGTTGAGGTAAATCTTTCATCTGTGACAGAGATGGGAATTACCTTAGACCAGTTTCGAGCATTCTGCCAACTACTCCGAATTAGGTTTTCCTGCAGTTTTCCTAATTCGTAAAGTAAATACCGGAGTAGTATAGAACAACTTAAGACCTTCTGCAGAGGCACCTCTAAAAAGCATTAAGGCCGAAACCCATTGGCAACACGCCACGCCACGCTACGCCACGCCACGCCATGTGGCATAGGTTCACGTGGGATAGTTTGTGTACATATTTGTAACACGCCACGTGATGACACGCTTGTCATTTTATTTAAAAAATTGGCAGTAGTAACTTTGAGTGCGATGGACTACACTAGCGCAAGCAGTTCGTCTAGTGAGAGTTCTTTAGAAGAATGTGCTGCTGCTGCCATCGTTTTGAATCAGAAAAAAAAGAAGATTCTGGGTGCACAAAATAAACCAAAACCGGGAAAAATATGCTGCTTTTCATGTTTTAATGAGAGAGCTGGAGGCAGATCGTAGTCGATACCATATATTTCCGTATGGACAAAGAGCAATTTCATTATCTACATAATCTTGTGAAAGATAGGATTAAAAAGTGAAATACAACATTTAGGAAATGTATTTCTACAAAAGAACGACTGTTTACCCTATTATTGTTTTTATTGTGAGGGTATATTAAAATAACGATCCCCGCTTTTTGGACAAATAAAAATCATTTGTCGTTTAACTTTGAATTTCGATTTATCAGTTATTTTGTTATGGATTTGTGTGTATTAAATCCTCTAATACCTAAACCTAACTTTCCTTTTTTAATTACCATATTTAAAAACGTTCTACTCATTCGTTAAAGACAATTGCATGCTTAATAAAGCATTTTAGGTGATTTTCTACTTGTTCTGTTCGCCATCTATCGGCAACATTCCCGCGGAATACCCCTCTTAAATAAAATAAATACCGAAACAGATTGCCGCGGGAGTGGAGAGGCGACCGGGGAACATTCACACGTACCAACACGCGTCGGTCACATCTGAGGGTTTTGAATTGTCACACGTGAGGTGGCGTGGCGTGGCGTGGCGTGGCATAGCGTGTGTCAAGTGTGTACGCGGTACATGTAAATAAATGGATGAATATACGCATACATTTTCGTCACATGGCGTGGCGTGGCGTGTTGCCAATGGGTTTCGGCCTTTATGCGGGTCACTCTGTAATTGGGCGCAAGTCTGTTGAGGGCCCTGAACAAAAGAGGAATAATAAATAAATAAATATTAGGTCTAGTGGCAAACAAAGTGTGAAAGCACTGACAACATTGTACGTTTAATCTCAAATAGTCAAATTAGACATTCCTGTATTTCACAGCTGATTCTGATGAGTTTTAATTTTATTAAACATAAAAACAAAATTCCATGGCTACCTACTTGGACAATAACTATTGAACGGAGTATATATTTATACCAAAGGGACAAGTATAGGGTTAAGTACGATTGAGTCCTCACAGATGACTTATAGATGTTATTTCATAGATAAGTATTGACTATGTTGCGTTTATTGCTTACCAAAATACATAGTATTTCTTCAGAGATTTTGAAAATTCAAGTGCATTTGGAAATTCATTCGATAAGAATTATAAAATATATGGAATATACTAAACATATTTTTTGAGTTAATCCCATATGTCTGAAAATACAGGGTGATTCACAAACCTTTATGCTATATCCCAAAATGTTTAGTTCAAGTAAAATGCAAGGTGTTACAGCAAATTTCGTTGTTTTTTTAAAATTCTACTCAAGTGTTCTCAGTTTTATGACCTAACTTAATTTAGAACAGATACATTTGTTGAAATTAATTCATGTATGAAAAATCATACCCCATATAGATCTCTTCCTAGATTCCAATTTTTAATCCGAATTAGATTTGGTGGGGCGTTAAAATAGGATCACAAACCAATCCTTTGAAGTCATGTAGTAACGATCATAAGACCGTTAACTCTCTCGTTATTCCAAAGAAGTCGACATTCAATTTTCTTATTTTAAATGGAAAAGATTGTGCATATTTCGGGACCGAATTGAATCATACTATTGTTTTATTTGGATACTCAATGGCCTTCTGCATATCGACGAAAAACAGTTTTTTGTTTAAAGGCCAGTAGTTCCATTATTATGAGGATGTAAAAAACTGTAACGGAAAAAGTTTTGTTCATTTTCACCTAGATTCTTCTTACCCAGACTTCTCCGAGAGTAACTTTAGATCATCGAACACCCTAACAACTGCTTTGGTATTCCCTTCCCTTATTTCGTGGTTTTCCTTATCAGATTCCTTCTGACCCACACAATATTCTTTCGATCTCCGCAGTGTTAAATATGTGTAACAAAAACTCGTGTAATGAGGGCAAAAACGGACGCTAATTTTTTCAGCTCTTTCTTCTACTAGCTGCTGTGTTAGATTCTCTATTTTTTTCAGTCATCATTGCAACAACGCGCTCAAAAACAACGGAACCCCTGAAGCTGAAAATACATCGTTTATTGGTTAGGCTCAACAATTTTTAGTACTGGTTTTGTACCTGACTAGGTCTTCATTTTCCTCTTTGTTCTTATTGGCTCTCTTCCAAAATTCCATTGTGCTTCCTGTTTCAACAGCTTGTTAAGGGACCGCTTTCTTTGCATAATTTTTAACGTAGTTCCTAAAAGACGCTGACCAGTGGTTCCGGTAATATGGACATCGATCGTTCTTGTGAATCACCCTGTATATCCTTATCAGCCTTTAGTAATTTTATATGATTGGGATATTTAGGGAAAGGATGTACAACGATTTGAGAGAGCACAAAATACAATGTACTCTGATAACGGATGCTGCCATTGGGTACATAATGGAATCTATAGATTTTGTAATGGTGGGTGCTGAAGCAGTTGTTGAAAGTGGAGGTATTGTGAACAAGGTAACGTCCGCAAATGCACAAGGTCTACTATTACTAGATTACATTAAATGGCTGTTACAGATTGGCAGTTATACAATGGCACTGTCTGCAAAGGCTATGAACAAGCCGTTTTATGTACTAACAGAAAGTGTAAAGTTCTCTAGGCTATTTCCATTAAATCAAGGTGATTTACCTGACGAATATAAGGTAGGTGTGAACATAAAAATTAAAAAATTATGTAAAGCCATTTTGTATTTTGCAGTATTTATCAGTAAAACGTAGCGGTGATTTAAGCAAAGAACATCCACTCGTTGATTATACTCCTCCTTCTTATATTACGCTTTTATTTACAGATTTAGGAATTTTAACACCTTCAGCTGTAAGTGATGAACTTATTAGATTGTATCTATGATTTGTAAATCAATAAATGCTTTTCGTTATATCATTTTACGTAACACTCCTCTATATGTTTAAGAAACAAGAATAATTTTGCTTACTATATGACGTGTTGAGGTTTATTAAGCGCCAATTTATTGCCGAGATGTTAAACTAAATGACCTGCTCAGTATTTAAGGCCGATTCCCACGTAGCAGCGCTTCAAAACACATACTTACGGTTTTCATTTAGTCCCTTGCTATTTCCCTTTCTTACTGTTGTATTTTGTTACAAAAAATTACAAGAAATACTTAGAACACATTTTATAATGAATATTACATTTAAAAATCTCTTATGACAGATGCCTACCCTGATATAAATACAACATCTTCCTTTTTTTTTTTTTTTCTAAAACAAACAAATCAAAACAAACTTAAAACAAAACATTATTATGAGATTACATAAAATAATCTTTAAACTTATTCGGTAATTTAACAATCCGACCACTGTTGTTTTGTTTAATATTAGAATCAGGAATTGGGTCATTTGAAGGATCAATTTCACAGGTGGTTTGATTGTTAATAGTTTCTAAGTTATTATCAGCGGTGTTATCAGAAGAACGATCCATATTTTGAGTTTGATCATGATCATTTGAGCAGTTTGATGAGTTGTTAATTTCAAATTTTGTATTAGTTGGTTTTAGTTGGCTAAAGTTTCTTCTAACAACATTGTTCTTATTATTAATTACATTAAAAGATCTAGGAGTGGAATGATTACCAACTACTTGTCCTTTTTCCCAAAACTGGTCTTTTATAAGAACATTATCACCTGTTTTCAAATTTTGGTTAAAATTTTTTGCACTTTTATCGTGATTTCGTTTAAAATATTCCTGTTTGGCTAAAAGTTTTTTATGTGCATCTTTAGGAATTACGGGTTTTAGTAATTGTGTGTGAATAGGAAGCTTGGTTCTGGTTAGTCTGTTCATGAGCATTTGACTTGGCGATATACCAATACCCGAAACGGGAGTATTTCTAAACTCCAATAATGCGAGGTCAATATTGTCGTGAGAACATTTCTTGAACACACAAGTTTGAACTGCACATTCTGCTTGACCATTACTGCGTGGATATTTAGGAGAACTTGTGCAAAACTGGAAATTCCACTCTTTGGAAAAATTCTTGCATTCAAAGGAAGAAAAAGGCATATTGTCACAAATTACTGTGTTGGGAATACCAAACGTCGCGAACAATATTTTGAGGTGTTTAATAATTTCTGATGAGGTTTTGTTTTTTAATAGAATGATCTCGAGCCATTTCGAGAAGTAATCTTGTACAATAAGATAGCTATTATCTGCATAATCCATTATATCACAAGCTATTTTATAAAATGGTATATTTGGTATCTCATGTGGAATCAATAAATCCCTTTGTTTAGCATTTTGGTAACGTTCACAAACATAACAATTAGATATCATATTTTGTATGTTGCTTGACATGCCTGGCCAAAATACAATTTGTCTAGCACGTTGTTTGGTCTTAACAGTACCAAAATGAGGTTCATGAAGAAGCCGTAAAATATAGAATCTTAGTTTATCCGGGCCTATTAACCGGTGGTTTATAAATAACAAGCCATCTTCGACAGATAATTCTGCTTGAAACTTATAAGTATTTAATTGAACCGTCCATTAGTTCATTACTTTTAGGCCAGCCATTTATAATATAGAACATTACCTTTGACAAAACTGGATCATTGGCAGTAGCCTGTATAAATTCCAACCTTTTAGCATCTGAAATATTTAAATTTTTGCTTAAAGTATGAACAGTTTCAGAAATCCATTGATCATCACCTTCGCTCTCTGGAAAATTTAGGTAAAATCGTGAAAGCAAGTCGGCAATAAACATATATTTTCCTGGCAAGAAATTTAACACTATTTTATATTTAAGTAATTTTATTCTCATTCTTTGCAAACGCGATGAGGCGATATCTCCAATTTTTTTATTCATTAGAGTTACCAAAGGTTAGTGATCAGTATTTACCTTTATTTCGCGACCATAAATGAAGATATGAAACTTGTTTACTGCAAAAACAATAGCGAGAAGCTCCTTCTCTATTTGGGAATAATTTTTCTCACTAGAACTCAAACTACGAGAAGCAAATGAAATAGGTTTGTCATCCTGAAGAAGACAGCGCCCCAGACCATCTTTGGATGCATCGGCTTGTATGGTGATTTTTTTAAATGCATCAAAGTTAGCTAACACTGGAGCATTAGAAATTATGTTTTTAATTTTATGTATCACAACCGAGTGTGCAGTTAACCATTTAAATTCAACTTTTTGTTTTAATAATTCACGCAATGGAGAAGTTATATCGGCTAAGTTCGGTATAAACTGTCGCAAATAATTTATCATTCCTAAAATACTTTGCAGTTCTTTTACATTTGTGGGATCTTTTAATCCTTTAATTGCTGCTATTCTGTTTGGATCAACTGACATTCCATCCTCCGAAAAGATATGACCAAAATAATTAACTGAGGGTTGCTTAAATTGAACCTTGCTAGGATTAAATTTAACTCCATTTGCAGTAGCTCTTATGATCACGGAATTTAAAATTTGATCATGTTCCTCGGAGGAATCGGCAGCTATCAAGAGATCATCAATGTACACTTGAACACCCTTCAAGTTTCCAAAGATTCTTTCATTAATGGCTTGAAAATATTCTGGAGCCATATTAAGCCCAAAAGGCAAACGATTAAATTTGTAACAACCAAAGTGCGTAGCAAATGTACAAAGATCACTAGACTTTTCAGTAAGTTCTACATGCCAAAAACCTTCCTTTAAATCGAGCACTGTAAAAAACTTTTTACCTTTAAGGTTTCCAATTATATCTTGAAGAGTTGGAATAAGGACATATGCGGGTCTTTTAATTTCTAAATTTAAATCACGAGGATCCAAACAAAGTCTTAAGGAGCCATCCTTCTTTTCAACAATTACGATATTATTAACCCAACCAGATGGTTTATCAACTTTTGAAATAATTTTTCTATTTTCTAAGGATATCAAGGTTTCCTTTAATTTGTCACGAATAGCAAATACCCCTAGGAGGGTTAATGACCGGTATGGCTTCATTATTTATTTGGATTTCACATTTATCCTTAAACTTACCCAGATCTTGAAATAATTCTAGATTATTCTTAATAAATTCATCCTTAGTCATAAACTTACCCAAGGCATCTACTTTGCGTGCAATAAGATCTAACTTAGTACAAGACTCAAGTCCTAATAACGGAGAAACAATTTTGTCTACAATTATGAAGTTATCAGTAAATTCAACGTTGTTACACTGAACTTTTAGTGGAACAATGCCAAGAGATTTTAAGACAGTACCACCAAATGCCTCCAAAATTATGTTTGTATTTTGTAACTGAGACTCTGGAACACCTACTTCACTTAACATTTTACGCGACAGGACATTCACATCTGCACCAGTGTCTAGTTTAATAAATTTAATAGGCACATGATGATCACCAACGTTTACATTTTGAAACCATGACTTAATTGACAAAACCTTTTTGTTCTGATTTCTTACCCCAATGCTGTTAATGGTGAACTCCAACTCGTCAGATTGCTCATCCTGTTCTTGTAGCACCTTCACATTTTTTACTTGACAGGAAACTGCAAAATGATTTAACTGTCCACATTTATTGCAGCTTCTCCCAAAAGCAGGACATTCACGAACGCCATGAACAGTCTGACATCTTCTACATTCAAACCTTTCACTACTCGTTTTGGAAACAGACTTATAATTTCGGTTTGCTGACTTTTTCTTAATGACCTCAACTTCGACTGAAGCCCCTTGCAAATTTCTAGCTTGAGATTTTGAAATTTCTGCAGCTCGACATAAATTCACAGCCTTTGCCAAATCAAGATCCTCTACCCGTAACAATCTTTCCTGCATGACCTTGTCATAAATCCCTAAAACAATTCTGTCTCGGACCATCTCATCACTTAATAATCCAAATTCGCAGGACTTGGATAATTTCTTGATATCAGTTAAGAACTGATCAAACCCTTCTCCTTCTTGCTGCACTCTACTAAAAAATTTAAAACGCTCAAACACGATATTTTTCTTGGGACTACAATGGTCATCGAAAGCTTTTAATACTGCTGGAAATGACACCATGTCAGTTTCGGACAATGTAAAGGTGTTGTATACTTCCACAGCATCTTCACCAATTATATTTAATTGAATGGCTATTTTTGTTTCATCGGTACTTTAATCAATAACCTGAAATTTCGGCTAAATAATAATAATAATAATAGTTTTATTTCCATAGGACATATAGATAAATTACGTGACATATTTATGGAAACCGGAAAACGGATCTGTTTCAGTTTACCGTGTAGGTTCACTGGTCTTCCACCAGACCCAATATGGATGCCTATTATTATTAAACATGTAGTAAAAATTAGAATTGAGTGTTCTCGAGTAATTACTATAAGGACAACAAAATGAAAGATGGAGTAATTAATGACAAATGTGATTGATAATGGTGTGTTTACCTATTGACTTAAGCGAAGCATGGTTTTAAACTTATATTTCAAACTCGAGATGGACAAACTTCGAAACGAGATGGGTACTTTTTTATTGTAATAGTTTGCGATATTGTAGGAAAATGACCTTTTGAAGAATGTAGTTTTATGAAAAGGAATACTGAGGGATGTAGATGATCGAAGATTTCTGCTATGCATATCACTTCTAAAAGATACTTCCTCAAACAAATAGGATGGGGTTTTTGATTCAATTATCTTGAAATAAAAAACTGCTGTATGTAATTTTCTTCTATTAGACATGTTAAGCCAGTTCGTTTCCTTTATTGTGTGAGAGATGTTATCATATCTACGAATACCGAATATGAATCTTAAGCAAGAATTTTGTGTTCGTTGAATTCTCATTCTAGTATGTGCAGTTATACAAGAATCGTAAAGTGTGTCACAATAATTGAAATCGGACAATACTAAGGAATCGCAAAGTAAGATTTTCATATCCCTAGAAAGACAATAACAATTG